CCTCCACTCCGCCGACGGGGGACCCGGAGCGGCAGACCCAGCCGCGCCTCGTGCGGGGCGCTCGCCCGTCCACGCTGCTCAGGGGCCGGCCCGGTCCCACTCGAAGAGCTGGACGGTGTCGCTCCCCAGGGAGTCCCGCGCGCGGTCCCGGCAGAACACCTTCTTGCCGAAGCGGCCCTCCACCTCGTGGACCGCCTCCATGAAGCGGCCCATCGCCACCTGGTACAGCCGGGCGTCCACGCGCGTCAGGTTCTCAACCAACTCTGCGTCCGCCTTTGACAGAGTGTGAGTCGTTTTGGTTCCGCCGCCATGGTCGAGGCTGGCGTGGGGAAACTTGCCCCAGGCCTCGTGGTCCTCGCAGTTGCAGTAGGACGGAAACGAGTTCTTGGACATCGCGTGCAAGAGGCACATGGACTCTTGGTAGAACTCTGTCAGACCAACGAACCTCACCACGCTCTGGAGGCGCCGGGTCGCCAAATCTTCGTGCACCGCAAGCTCACCACTCCTATCGTGCAGCACGGCCTCGTCCACCGCGTGGGTGACAAGCGGGCAGACGGTGGCGCGGCAAGACAACGCCCGAGCTTGCAGGTTGATCGGGATGTAACAGTGGAAGCCGCGCTCGTGCGCGGTCGGATGATCGCCCACCTTGCTCCAATATCGCAGCCACTGCGAGAAGTTCGCTGGCAGGCCACGCGGGTTGAACCAATGGTCGAGGTTCTTCCTGCAGTGATTCCACTGGGAATACACGTGCGCCTTCGGCTCGCGCATAAAAGTAATCCGCGAACCCTCCCCTGTCTGCAGGGCGAGGGCGGGGCGCATGAGATGACGTACTGCGTACTGCTGATCCCCGCCCCTCGACTCGCGACCCTCCTCTTTGGGTCACGGCCCCGTAGGCCGTAGACGGGGTCTTCGACAAACCAAGACGTGGGTCATCGTTTTGCAGTTTTCGGCGGTAGCCGGGTTCTTCGGCCTGGGGGGGAGGTGGCCGATAGCCCAACCTTCTCGCTTCGGGCAACCCCAAGTCTTCCCGCGCGCACCGTGCGCAGGGGAGGCAGGGGGGGGGGGGGGGGGGGGCCCGACAAAGCGGGCTGTCGCCAGAACCGTGCACCAGAGCCTTGGAACCCCCGAGGAAAAAAAAAAAAACTACAGCCGCGGGCCGAAGCATCCTCCATGATCCGTTCTCTCCAGCCGGATCTGGCAGAATCCCGGCCAGCAAAGCCCTGCTCTTCGGGTGCCCAACCGAGCCTCGCCCAAGGGAAGCCTCCAGAGCACCTCCGAGGACAATTCCCTGAAGCTTCCACGGAAGCTCCGAACACAACCAAGAGCCCCTCCTCCTCCTCCTCCTCCTCCTCCTCCTCCTCCTCCTCCTCCAACCGAGACTCCCTCACCTCGTCAGACATTCGACGTCGTGATTTTTCAGAACGTAGACCCCAGTGATCTCGACCACTTCCCCCAGGCTGGCTTTTCATCCTCCTGAATAATTTTGACAATACCAGGCTCTCCTGCTGAAGGCCCCCCGAGGCCGAACATGGACAAAAACCTTCCGTCGTGATTTTCCCCCAATGAACTATGTATGGGGTTATTGCTATTAGTGACTCCGTCGCCCTATCACTCACTCACTCGCTTCCACCTCCTCCTCCCTATCATCACACTGAGATCACTCATACTCAGATCACTCACACTCAGACTCACTCAGACTCAGACTCACCCACAATCCAAAAACTCAGCTCACACTCAATTCACTCATTCTCAGGCTCACTCTCCCCAGACCCACTCACGCTCAGATCCACTGATACCCAGATATGTTCATCTTAAGACGCACTCATAAAAGGGACTACTCCCCCCTCAGATCCTCTCATGCCCAGCCGAATCATACTCGGACTCAAATGCACGCACACAACACAGACCACTCACAGCATGATCACTCACACTCACGGTATGATCAGCGCGACGTAACAGGCGTGGCATCTGGGCGAGCCGCCAGGGGGTGTTACACTCGCCCGTTCGCGCCCAGGTCGTGGTGATGTCTCGCGCGGTGTGCGTGCCTTTGCCCACCAGGACTCCTCTCCTTTTGAAGCCCCCGCGGCCACCGCGACGGAGCAGGTGTGGCACTTGGGCACCCCAAGTTGGGGAGCCGCCAGGGGCTGGTTGCACTCGCCCCTTCGCGCCCATACTGTGGGGATGTCTCACCTCGGTTTGCCTGATGTCTGGCCATCCCGCTCCCGCGCCCCCCGCCCCCCCCCCTCTGCCTGAAGGTTGCCCTCCCCCCCCCTCCCACGCCCTTCTCCCCCCCCTCTTTTGAAAAGCTCGATGGTCACCGCGGCATAGCAGGCGTGGCACTCGGGTGCCCCAAAGTCAGAGCCGCCAGGGGGTGTGACGCTGGCCCGCCCGCGCCCGGATTATAAGGGGTGTCTCGCGGGGTATACATCAGGTCAGGTGTGCTCTCCTACAGGCGGATGTTGGGCGAAACCTAAAAAATACTCGACAACATACTCGAAAATAGTCAAGAATAGTCCAACCATCGCCTCCATACTTTTTCAACATTTCCCAACCGTCCTGTGGTGTTGGGTCCTCGTTTTGGAGAGACAGCGCCCCGCGTCCCTCTCGCCTCCTCGTCCTCCTCCTCCTCCTCCTCCTCCTCCTCCTCCTCCTCCTCCTCCTCCTGTTCCTCCTCCTCCTCGTCCTCCGCCTCCTCCTCCTCCTCCTCCTCCTCCTCCTGCTTCCCATCCTTGCCTCTGCTCATCGCATCCATTTCGGCACACCCCTCACAGGGTTCGTGGCCCCATAGGGGCCTCCACCGAAGGCCCCAGCGTTCGCATGCAGTTCCACCCTCAGTTCGGCACACCCCTCACAGGGTTCGTGGCCTCATAGGGAGCTCCACCGAAGGCCCCAGTGGCAGCGTTCGCATGCACTTCCACCTTCAGTTCGGCACACTCCTCACAGGGTTCGTGGCCCCATAGGGAGCTCCACCGAAGGCCCGAGTGGCAGCGTTCGCATGCACTTCCACCTTCATTTCGGCGCACCCCTCACAGGGTTCGTGGCCCCATAGGGAGCTCCACCGAAGGCCCGAGTGGCAGCGTTCGCATGCACTTCCACCTTCATTTCGGCACACCCCTCACAGGGTTCGTGGCCCCATAGGGAGCTCCATCGAAGGCCCGAGTGGCAGCGTTCGCGTGCAGTTCCACCCTCATTTCGGCGCACCGCTCACAGGGTTCGTGGCCCCTTAGGGAGCTCTACCGAAGGCTCCAGTGGCAGCGTTCGCATGCAGTTCCACCCTCATGTCGGCGCACCGCTCACAGGGTTTGTGGCCCCATAGGGAGCTCTACCGAAGGCCCGAGTGGCAGCGTTCGCATGCAGTTCCGCCCTCATGTCGGCGCACCCCTCACAAGGTTCGTGGCCCCATAGGGAGCTCCACCGAAGGCCCCAGTGCAGCGTTCGCATGCAGTTCCACCCTCAGTTCGGCACACCCCTCACAGGGTTCGTGGCCCCATAGGGAGCTCCACCGAAGGCCCGAGTGGCAGCGTTCGCATGCAGTTCCACCCTGATTTCGGCGAACCCCTCACAGGGTTCGTGGCCCCATAGGGAGCTCCACCGAAGGCCCCAGTGACAGCGTTCGCATGCAGTGCCACCCTCATGTCGGCGCACCCCTCAAAAAGTTCGTGGCCCCACAGGGACACAGGGAGGTCCACCGAAGACGGTACTCACAAGTGCGGCACTCACAACTGCATATTGTTGGGTCATTCGCCAGGCTAATTTCAAATAATTCCTCCTGTAGAGGGACATGCCCGACTTAAGGGTTGCCTGATTCGTCTCCGAGTCTCCTCTTTCTCAGGCCATACGGTCACGGTCACCACGGCATTGCAGGCGTGGCGTTGGGGCACGCTGAGGGGCGCGCTTTCGAAGGCCCTACGGTCACCACGGCATGGCAGGCGTGGCACTGGGGTACGCTGAGAGGGAGCTGCCAGGGGCTGTTACACTCGCCGGATCTCGGCCAGACTGTGGTGATGTCAGCAGCGGTCTGCTAATTCCTGCCCCCCAGACTCATCTGCACCACGATCACCGCGACAGAGCAGGCGTTGCGTTTGAGCACCCGATCGAGGGGGGGGAGGCACCAAGGAGTCTTACACTCGCCTGATCGCGCCCAAATTGTGAGACGTCTCGCCGCAGCCAGACTGTGGGGATGTCTTACGCGGTTTGCTCGTTACGTGGCACAGGCTCCTCTCTTTCGAAAGCCACATGATCCCCGCAATAAAGCAGGCGTAGCATTCGGGCACCTCATGGAGGAACAGCCAGGGAGCGCTCAGTTGCCACAGGCTACGATTCTGTCCCCTAGACTCCGACGGAAAGTAGCGCTGAGGTGCACGACGTATGGGGATCTCCGCGTCCAAAAATGTTCACAATGGGAGGATGCCAGGGACCTCAAGCTCCCTAGAGAAACAACAACTGCATAAGCAGATACTTTCGGAGGTCCGCGTGGAATTCTTCGCTCGGCGCCGACCCCCCTGCCTGACGAGCGCAGCGCGCCAGGGGCATCGCTGAAGTCGCCGCCAGGGGGTCCCAGCGGCGATCCAAGGAATCTGCGCTGAGCTCAGAAAAGAAACAAATACATGTTTCTGCAATTTCTTCGTCTTCTTCTTCGATTCCCCTCACCTTCATCGTCATCGTCAACGTCATCGTCATCATCACCATTGTCATCAACGTCATCCTCATCGTCATCGTCATCATCTTCTTCTTCATCGATTCGCCTCATCTGCCCAGAGTCGATCTCACCGAACCCTCCGGGTGAACGTCGGCGAGATGGCGCAGAGAGAGCCTCGCTGGGGATGACCGCCGGGGGCTCCCACGCGTCCAGCCCTGAGAACCTCGGCCAGCAGCACTCGTAGCTGTTGAGCTGCGTGGTCACGGCGCTTGGCGGCGCGCGGAAGACGGGCGGGGTAGAGCCCCACCCGGGCCACCCACTTGCACCGTCAGAATGTGTCCATATCCTCTGCCGCGGGGTCGTGTCCCAGGGACTCGAGCAGCGGTGGATGTGGACATATTCTGGCGGTGGACCACTTCCTCTCGTCGCTAATTGTCCGGGTGTAGGACCCTACCATATGTGGATGCGAGTGCCGCAAGGGAGGTGGGACGAAGGAGAGGCAGGTCCCTGTGGGGCCACGAGACGTGTGATCGGTGTGCCGAACTGGGTGCGGGGCCGCCATGCGGTTGCCGCTGGGGCCTTCGGTGACGCTCCAGATGGGGCCACGAAACGTGAGTGGTGTACCGAAATGGGCATGCGGAGGGCAGAGGCATGATGGGGAAGAGGAATGAGCAAGAATGCGGGACGCTGCTGATCTAAAACGAAGACCCATGCCCTGCTTTGGGATGTGTTTCGACAAACAACGACTGGAGATGAGAAAATAGCCCTGGGGAGCTATGCCAGACCTCTGGGGATCTTCGCGCTGCGGAAAAGACGTCACGACGCCGGAGCTCTTGGACGATGCGCGGCGCAAAGCCCTGTCTATGCCCTGGGGAGGCGAGGTCGGGGTACCCCGCCCTCCCACACCGATTTGGGTGCACTAGAGGCATCTTAGATTGGGTCCGAATAGATGGGGTCGGAGGATTGCGCCGCTGCATCGCCGATGCACCGAAGAAACTCTGGCGAAGCATCGCCGACGTGGGCGACGCGTCGGCGACGTCGGCGTGGGGCACATTGGGCCCCACGCTTCTGGGACCATAGCTCTGCACACCCAGTTCCTCCTCCTCCTCCTCCTCTTCCTCCTCCTCCTCCTCCTCCTCTTTCTCCTCCTCCTCCTCCTCCTCCTCCTCCTCCTCCTCCTCCTCCGTGGAGGGTCCCCGGGGCCAGGGCACGAGGGCGCCCCTGGGAGTCGCGAGCGGGGGCAAATCCCACCAGGGCGGAAGTGGCAATTGTGCAGTGGGCCCGTCTCGGAAGGATGCGCGATCGGGATGCAAGGGCCTTGGAAGGCCATGTCGAAGCTTTCCGAGCTGGCCGCGGCCAGCCTAAGTGGCCAAGGATGGACCGAAGAGGCAAGGATGCAAGGGTCCCCTTGGGAAGGTTGCCCATCCTCACTACGTATGCGGGTTGACTGTAACGAGTTGTTGCCTTTCCTCTTCCAAAGCCCCTCCTCCCCCTGCTCGGGGGAGGGGTTGGTCACTGCTCCTTGCTGATATACACCTCCTCCCCCACCCGAAAAGCGCCACTCCTGTCACAAAACCACTGCGATGTGCAGTGTGTGGCAGCATCTTGTGCCCGCGAGCACTTCGTATTGTTTTTGGCAGGGGCGGCGGGAGTGCCAGCACATGGCCTGCTGTGCGCAGGGCCACCATCCCTGTCAACAAGCACATGCAAACTTCTCCTCGCAGCCAAATCTGAATCATGCGCGGGCACTCCACGATCACTTGGAATTGGTTTTCTCAAGGGGCAGCAGGGGTGCTGGAATATTGCCTGCTGTGCGCAGATCCACCAGACATCATGATGACCACTCCGCCGCGATTGTGCATTGGTTTTCGACAAGGATGGTGAGGGTCGACATGCTTTCCGATATGCGCGAGCGCGCTGGGCACACTCTGCGCGTGCCCCGCACGTGGCGCACCTGGGGCGGCTGGAGCAAGCGTGCCCGACACGCTTGGGCCCCAGGGGCGCCGGGCGCGCCTGGTGCGCGTGGCGCACCTCGCCTCAGCGTCGGGCACCTGGGGTCTGTATTGGTGCCCAGTAGCAGGCCATACAAACAAGACGGCTGAATACGCTGAGACTCGGCTACTGCTCATGTGTTGGGAAGGCGGGTGGGAGCGAGCCAAACAAATTGCGTCTGGGAAAAGTGTCTTGATCACAATTCCTTGTGGATGTGGCGTCCCCTCCCCTCCCCTACCCTACTGGCGACACACCCATGACCTTGCGCCCCGCCCTGCGCTATCCCTGTCAAATGACAATTCAAAATGTACATCCTGGCAAAATCTGAACCGTGCGCGGGCGCCCCCTGAACACTTTCCATGTGTTCCTACAGAAAAGGCGGGGATGACCTCAATTTGCCGCTCTGTGCAGGCCAAACCAACACTGTCAAAACGCAATGCAACAAACAAATCTGCGGCAAACATACGGCAAAAACACTCTCTGCGGCAAAAACACCCTGCGGCGCCCCGCAACCACTTTGCATCGGTTTTTGACAGGGACGGCGGCGGTGCCCGCATTCTTCGACCAACTGAGGCCTCCATTCTCGGATCCCCCAACCAACAACCTGAAACGTAACATTCAACAGAAAAAGAACAACAGAACTTGCTCCGCACTCTGTCTCGGCAAGTGGCTTCAAGGAATAAAGATGTGTGAATCATTCCTGGTGCTTCGGGCTCCACCCTTCTCAATGAATGCTCGGTACTGCGCTTCCGACGTGTTCATGAACTCAGTGGGAGCGGGGCCCCAAGCTCGGATGCTGCCCGTGTAATTATTGGGAGGGCAGGTGGGAGTGAGCGACACGGCTTGCGGCTTGGGGTGGCTTGATCACTTTTCCCTATAAACACACACGCACCTTCCCCCATCCGACTGACAGCCAACCCGGACCCACGACAACACCCTGGCAGAACCCTGTGGGAAAAAAAACACTACGAAACACATGGTGCTTTCACATCTGGAGCATGCGGGTGCCCCGGACGGCGGCGGTGCCCTCATACTGCTTGCTGCGCGCAGGCTGAGCTAAACATCCCTGGCAACAAGAACTACAACACCCACCATCGTGCCGCTGGGCACGGAGTGGGCGTGCCCTCGGGCTCTTCTCGCCCAATCCCCTGAGCCTCAGCCCTCACTCCTGATGAGTCTGTAAGGGCTCCGAACCGACATCGGCAAATCCGCCCGATTGGGCTTCCGGGTGTCGTCTCGCGTGACTTTGTCGGGCCCACGAGGGTCCCAAGACGGGCTGCGAGGGCCCCGAGAGGCAGACGCCCAAGATGGGCCCAAGTCGGCCCAAGAGGTCTCCAAGACACCCCGAAAAAGCCTCCAAGGCCTCCCAAGAGGCCAACATCATGGATTTCCCCAAGGTTTTCGGATGATTTTCGCTTTCTTGCATTTTCGGCTCCCCAACGCTCCCCGACGCTCCAAGACGGCCAAAGAGCCAAGAGGCCCTCAAGACCATCATCCCAAGACGGCCCAAGAGGCCTCCAAGAGGGCCGCAAGACGGCCCAATAGCGCCCAAGACGGCCCAAGAGGCGCCCAAGATTGACCAAGAGGGCACCAAGACGGCCCCAAAAGGGGCACAAGGGAGGGAGCTCGAAGTGAAAATCTAAGCTTTCCGCTCCCAAGGAGGCAGGCCCCCAGGAGGCCTCAAGAGGAGCCCAGGCCCCCAGGAGACCCAGAAGAGGCCCCAAGAGGCCTCCAAACGGCCCCCAAGAGGTATCAAAACTGCCTCCATGGGGCCCCCGAGAAACCTCCCACAAGATCCCAACGGACATCCAATAGGCTTCATTACCCACAACCCAAGCGCGGTGGCGGGATGGGCCTAAGGCCATTCGATACACTTTGCATCCGGATCTGGAGCATGCGCGGGCGCCCCGCGACCACTTTGCACTGGTTGTTGACAGGGACGGCGGAGGTACCCTTATATTGCTTGCTGCGCGCAGGCCAACCATCCCTGTCAACAAAAACGTACAACATACATGTTGCCTGCACCCCGCGACCATTTTGCATGTGCTATTGAAAGGGACTGGGGGGGCTGTGCGCAGGCCAACCATCCCTATCGAATTGCAATGAAACATGCACTGTGCCTCCAACTCTGGAGCATGCGTGGGCGCCCTGCGACCACTTCGCAGTGGTTTTTGACAAGGGCGTTCTGGTGCTAATTACGTGTTGGGAGGGCGGGTGGAGTGAGCGAGACGGCTTGCGCCTTGTGGGCAAGAAGTGTCTTGCCCCTCCCCCATACCCCTTCCCCTGGGTTTGGACGGGGGTGTCCCGAGGGGTTCGAGCGTTCAAGATTGCCCAAGACAGGAAGCAACAATCTGATGAGTGTGGGCCTTCCAGGGGGGGGGGGGACTCTACAACATGAGGACACTTGTTGTTGGCTATGCGGACCCAGACCGTCCCCAGAGGGCCCCCAGACCCCCTGAAAGAGCCTCAAGAGGGCCCAAGGAGTGTCGAGAGGCCCCACGGGGACTCCAAGAGGGCCCCAAGATGGCTCCGCGAGTCCTCCCAAAACCTCTCGCAACAATACATCAGCAGAGGCCGCCTCCTCGTGCTGTGATCTGCGTTCCCGAAACTCTTCCATAGCGGCTGTTCCACTACGTGTTTCTGCACTTCTCTCATTAAGGCAACTCCCCCGGCGATCGTTTCTGCGCGCGCTGGTGGGGATAACGCGAAGCGCCAAGCATTAGCTTAGCCTGTTAAAAGACCCGACCGCATTTGGTGGAACTCCCTGTGGAGCCACGAAACGTGTGAGGTGTTCGCCAAGATGTGCGCAGTAATGCAAATGAACCCTGCCACAAGAGCCGTCGGGGGTCCTTTGGTGGAACTCCATGTGGCGCCACAAAACGTGTGAGATGTATGCCGAAATGAGCTGGGGGACGCATGCGGACCCTGCCACTGGGATTTCGGTGACACTCCTTGTGGGGCAAAGGAGCGTGTGAGGGACGTGCCCAAGCAGAGGCATGTGGAGAGCAGAGGCATGAGATGAGGATGAGAGGAGAGGACAGGGAGGAGAGGAGGGAAAATGCAGGGCGCTGTCTCTTCAAAAACGAAGACCAAACACAACATGGTGGTTATTGAAACATGTTCCGCCGCTATGTTTTCCCAGCGGGAGGATGTCAGGGGAGGTCCGGGGCTCCACGCCGCTGCAAAAGTCGGACGTCCGCGGGACGCCCATGCCCCCTGCCTCCCAGCTCCAAGCAGTAGGGAAGCGAACAACTGCATAAACAGAATTTCTCGGAACTCTGCGCTGATTTCTTGGCTCGGCATGGACCTCCTCCCTGGCGCGCAGAATGCGCGCGCGCTCCAGGAGCGGCGCCAGCGTGGCCAACAGGGGCGCCCAGCGCCGATACAAGAAATCCGCACGGAACTCTGGAAAATTATAGTGATATGCCACTTTTCCTCCCTCGGTCCCAGGAGGTGTGGGTGCCCTCGGCTCTGAGGAAGCCGGTCCCCTCGAAGAGGCCAGCCTTGAGGCAGGCAGCTCACCGAGGGCAGTGTAGGGGCCCGACCACAGGAGACCTTCCAAAAGAGACCCAACCCTGAGACACCGGGACGTCTACCGATTTTTTGGCGTGGGGACTTCACGCTGCCCATCGCAAAGCCATCGATGCCCAAGACACCCGGGGCACATCTAGGCAGGCAGGGTGCTGCTTGGCATGGGTCTCCGCTGTGCACCGATCCCTGCCAGGGGCCCCTCCTGGGCCCCCGGGATCGGTGCAGGCGCCCTGCTGGCCTGGGGGTGCTGGCTGGTGGCCCAGAGGTTCCTGGTGATCCAGGGGGTCCTGACTACAACAGGGCAGTTTCTAATACATAGGATTTGAAACAAAAACATCGGATTTTAATACATGACTAATGTATGAATGCATGTATGCATAACTCATCGTTGCTGTCAATACTATCTCCCTGCATCTTTAATACATGATCCGCACGCGGAGCATGCATTAAAAACGGCACTGTAAGGGGTGGGGGGTGGTTCTTTGAGATCCTGAGGGGCCGAAAAACCAGCCTCACCTCCATCCATGACCACATGGATCACCAGGTCGGGAGTGGGGGTCCTGGCTGAGGGGGTGGGGGGTTGTGCTGTCCACCTACGGTCGCTGCTGAGGTGGCCTGTTGGAAGGGACGGGCTCCAGCAAAGCCGTGCCCAAATCATCCGTTACCGACAATTTCTGGCAACATGAACAAACAGGTCACAATCGAAATCTGGCCTCTGGTCGCTCTCTGGTCGGGGAGTCCAATACCGAGTGAGCCGTCGATGTCTTCGAAACCCTCGCTTGGATCCTGACGCGCCGCTTCTTCGTTAAAGTGGAGGTCAGACCACAAGAAACTTCCCACAAGAAACCCAACCCTGAGACCCCAGGACGTCCATTGATTTTTGGTGTGGGTACGTCACGCTTTCCATCGCAAGACCATCAAAACCCAAGAAACCCAAGGCACCCTGGAGGCAAGCAGGGTGTTTCTTGGCACGGCTCTCCACTGTACCGAAATTCGACCCCGTCCGGTTGCGAAATTCAGCGCGACCGAAATCCGCTACCGAAAATTTCCAGTCGCGGATGATTTGGGTGAAGAATTCCTGCGCTCTCGCACTGCGCCCCCCTTAGAAGGACAGCCTGCGTAAAAAAGGACTTCCGAGAGTCCGCGCGAAGTTCTTGGAGCGGCGCTGGACCCCCCTCCCTGGCGCGCGGGGCGCGCCAGGTAGTGCGCCGGATACGCCGCCAAGGGACGCTAGCCCAGGACATCCAACATCGCTCGAAACTGTTGTTTCTCCAGACGGTGGTGCGAAACAGACATGCACTGCAATACTCCTGGGATAACTAAGTCTGGACAAAGGACTCGAAACCCTTCACCTCCCCCCAGACCCAGACAAGGACCCGACATTCGAAGCGCAGCAGAACAAAAGCGCCCCGGATGGCCAAGCCTGACTTTGCGGGAGAGGCTGCTGTTTCCCCGACTTGCCAATGTCCTGGCCTTCCGGGGCCTGATCCACTACGTTTGTGGATGCCATGACGATGGACACTCGAGCAATCCTATCATTGAATTAAATACGTGTTTAAAATGTGTAAAACATGTTCTAAACATGTTTCAAGCATGATTTTTAGTATTTAAAAACATATGTGAAAGATCTTTCAGACATCTGGAATTATTTGGCATCATGCTTCCTCTCCTTTAATCAACTTCCACAACACTACGTACACCCGCGCGGGCCGCGGACAGTTTACGTGTGCGCAGCGTCTTCTCCTTTGGCTCTGCGCGCCGCCAAGATGGACAGGTGTCGCGGCAGGTCGAGCAGGGCCGAGCCCCCCGCCGTCTTCGCCAGGTGGAGGAAGTATATCTTCTTGAACCAGCTGGCCTCCGACGCCTCGTGGGGGCCCCAAATCCTGATCTTCCAGGAGGGCTGAAAACTAGCACCTGGACCTCGGCGTCTAAATCAGAGCCGAGGTTTTAACATGCCTGAAAGGTCTCTGAGTTTGGAGTGCAATCCGAGGAAGATAATAGAGAATGTCTAAATTCTCGCGCTCCTCCGCGGTAGATCCTACACCTTCTTCACGTCTAAAGTATAGACGCCCACGTCTCAATTTCAGCCACGATCTGATGCAAGTTACAATGTGTTCCGTGCGTCGCTAGCAGCAATTTGCAAAAACCAATATGAACGTTCACATGGTTACCACAGTGTATCACGGACATGCACTATTTGTACAGGATGTTGACACGTTCTCACGTATCCAGACTCTAAGTTTACACACGGGTATGAATTCTATACGATTGAAGTACTATGTGGCCATATCCCGATACTGAAAAATTACCCGCATACTTTAGACACGTCATTAGACACGGCGCAGCATGGCGACTGCAATGAGAGGCATGATGACTCTTCCGGTGCAGACTGGACGTGTTGCTTCCATCTGTCGACCGCGCACGCACTGATGACGAGGGCGGACACGAAATAGCATTGGAGGCGGTGATGACCCAAGGGAGCATGGAAACCTTGGAGCGATAAAGCGGTAGACGGGAAATGAGAGAAGACGGCACGGACCTAGAACATGGGAGCGAACATGTATGGGTAACGGCGGCGGAGGACGAGTAGGATGGTGCAGAATGCGGAGAAGGGCGCACAGGTGAAGGAACCGACAAGGCAGGACGGCATCATGATCGATAATAGTCCTCAATCTTCTTCCTCCTCCTCCTCCTCCTCCTCCTCCTCCTCGGGTCTCGATCCTCGATCCCCATCCCCGTTTTCCTCAATCCTCCTCATCCTCCTCCTGCTCCTCATCTTCCCCCTCCTCCCTAATCGCCCTCGATCCTCGGTTCTCCTCCTCGATATCGACGCGCGTGTTCTGTCGAACGGCGATGTGCCAACAGAAACACGAAGCAAGACTAAGACGGCCACGAACACGCACACGTACATGCACACACACACATTGAGCGGTCTCGGCCTCGCGCTCAGCGTCGAGGCGGAGTAAACCGCGCGCGCATACAAACACACACACACACACACGCACGCACGCACGCACGCACGCACGCACGCACACACACACACACACACACACACACACACACACACACACACACACACACACACACACACACACACACACACACACACGCACGCTCACGCACGCACGCACACGCACGCACGCACGCAGGTACGCCCCCCCCCCACACACATACACACGCACACGGACACACACACACACACACACACACACACACACACATACACACACACACACGCAAGCGCGCGCCCGACGCGCGTCAACACCGCCGCCACCGCCGCACATGCACATGATTAGCAATGCGAAACGGATCAAACACCTTTCCTACACCGTGTGTGCACGATTGTACATTGCGTGTAGGCACGATTCTAACAAAGTAACCTGCTTGTTTACACACATCCGCCACCATGCCTTCAGCACGTAGTGAAGTGCCCCAAGGCTCGTGCAACCCTGGAAGGCAAAAAGGGTTTGACGCTGCCAGGGTGTGTCGCATGGGCCTCTGTGGCGGCGACCCCGCCCAACAGGGCCACAGACTGGGCGAAGACGGCCCCAAGAAACCACCAGCAGGGTCCGAGAGGCCTTCGAGACTGTCCAGGAGCTTTCCAAGACGCCCAAGATGGCCTTGCGACGGTCCAAGAAGCCTTCGAGACGCCCAAAGGCCCCAGAGAGCTCAGAGAGCCTTCCCATGAGGGCTCCGGAGGCCAAAATCATTGATTGCCATTAGGTTTTTCAATGCTTTGTGGGTTTTCCACTTTTCTAGCATCCGACGCTCCACGACGGCCACAGAGGCCCCCAAGAGGGCTCCAAGACGGCTCAGAAAGGGCCCATAGACAGCCCAAGAGACCCCCAAGACGGCCAAAAAAGGCCCCAAGAGGGGGAGCACGAACACAAAAATCCAAGCCTTCCGCCAGAGGCCCCGAAGAGGCCCCCAAGAGACCAAAAGAGGCCCCAAGGGGCTTGAAAAAAGGCCCCCCGAGAGGCATCGAAGAGATCCCAACGACCATCCAAGAGGCCTCAGACCCACAACCCAGGCACGGTGGCGGGATGGGACGAAGGCCAGCTGCCGACCCCTTGTGGTCTTGCTAATAGGGGTGCATGGCGAGCCGAACGTTTCGCAGGATTTGGTTCTTTTCAAACGAGCTCCCTGTGGGGCTTCGGCCCAGCCCGCTGGCCACCCGAAAGGCCGCCCCGCAAAGGCCCCCCGTTGCCCGATCGCCTCACAGACTATGGCTTAAGATGGCCTCCAAGATGCTTCTAAGACGGGCAAGATGGTCCCAAGGGAGCCCGAGATAGCCCCTAACATGGCCTCCTCAAAGACTGTCCCAAGATGCCTCCAAGACCACCTAGATGGTCCAAGAGACCCCAGGACGGCTCAAGAAGCGCCCAAGAGGCCCCTCCAGCCAAGTGAATATTTGTGGTAGTGATTTTTTCGAGCGCATGTCAACACATCGGAAGCGCGTGCGCACGCACACGCAAGCGCGCGTACGCGCACACGCGCGCGCACGCGCTCAGGACGGGGCTCGGGCCCGGGCTCGGGCTCGCACACGGGCTCGGGCTCGGGCTCGCGCCCGAGCTTGCACGCGCTCTCGAACGAGACGAATGCGCGCACACGCAAAAGAACGCGCACGACCGCGCACGCGCTCACGCTCGCGCACACGCGCACGCTCACGCACGCGCGCGCACGCGCGCGCTCACCCGCACGCGGACTGCCCCCGCTTGAGGGCAAGGCGTGACGACAGTGCTAGGACACCCACCCCCCGGCCCTGCACCCCTCTCACCCCATTTATAGGTTAAAAACCCTAAGCGGGGTGTGACTCGAACGCCAAGTTTCACGAGGGAGAGTGCTTCAAGCATTATGTCGTCAAGAAGGGTGTGCTACAGCACGCGATCTTTACGAGGGACACTAGTTTCAGCAACCCACGGCGTGGGTTCCAATACCCACTTTTGACTGAAGATAGCTGCTCCAGCAAGTTATGCCGACAAGTCGGGCGGGCTGTCGCTAAGAAAGCAAATAGGGCGCCCCGCGCCCCAGCCACGAACCCTCCCACAGTCCGTCAAACACCTCATCAGCAACATATGCACCTAAGTGTAAGAAGGCCCAGGGGGCATCCACGAGGTCCCCAAGGAAGAACCGACGAGGCAAACATCATTACCCATCGGTCGGAAGAAGTAGGTAGAAACATTAAGTAGGAAGGCGTTAAAGGTAGATTGGGTGTCCGCCCGCCCCCTAAAAAGAATGGAAAAGGTTAAGCCACTCGACCATTGAAGTAGGAAGGCGCTTAAAGTAGATTGGGATCTGGGAGTCCAAACATACATACTTTCAGCGACCGACGGGTAATCTTCAAGTGGTTGAAGGAGTGTGGCATTTGCTTCAAAACGGTCTTCCGACCGCCGAGGTCGGCCCAAGAAGCCTCCAGGATGGCCCCTGGACGGCCCGGCAAGCTCCCAGACGGCCCCCCAACACGCCCCCCCAAGACGGCCAAGATGGCCCCAAGGCGGTCCCAAGATGCCTCCAAGACTGCCTAGATGCTCCAAGGGAGCCCAAGAGGGCTCAAAATCGCCCGAAGAGGCCCCGTTACGGTGTCCCAAGAGGCCTCCACGACGTCCTCCAGGAAGGCCCGAAGAGGCCAACATCATAGATCTGCCGCAGGTGGTTACAGGACTTGGGCATCTGCTTCAAGCTGCCTTCCGACGGCCCAAGAGGCTACCGAGATTGCCCCAAGATCGCTCAGAGGCCCCCGAGATGGCCCAAGAGGCTCCCTTGACGGCCCCATCAGGGCCCCAAGACGGCCACAGAGGCCTTCAAGACGCCCAAGATGGCCTTCAAGAAGGCCCTGAAGCGCCCCGAGAAGACCACAGAGAGGCTCCCAAGACGGCTTCCGACGGCGTCTGACGAGCCAGGAACGCCGTAAGACTGCCAACGAGGCCCCCAAGAAGCTCCCGAAGGCCCTCAAGAGGCCCAAGGAGGCAAGCACGAGGTCTCCAAGAGGCTCCCAGGAAGCCCCCACAAGGCCCCAATAATGACCCCAGACGCTCTCAGGAGGTCGTCTCATCCTTCTCCTCTTCCTCCTTGTTCCTCCCGCTCCTCATCCTCCTCTTACTCCCAGACGTGTTCTCCGAAGGGCTTCCACAACAACTGGGGGAACGCATGGTCCAATAGCGTGGCCAAACGTTGCCCAAACGTTTGGCCACATGGGCGTATCCTAGAAGGCTGGGAGCGGCGGTGATTCAACATTGGCGTCTTCGATATCCGCCTCCCCCTCTTGATTTATCACATGGGTGCCTGGCGTGCTGGACGTCTGAGTGGACTCAAGTTCTGCTTGAAAGAACTCCCAGAGGGATCTCGGCCCAACCCGCCAGCCACCCGAAGAGCCGGTCGATTCCCAACAAATCTCTCCAAGACTGCCTTGGTGGCCTCCAAGACGGTCAACATGGCCTCCAAGATGCCTCCAAGACGGCCAAGATGGCCGAACGACGGTTCGAAGATGCCTCCAAGACTGCCTAGATGCTCCAAGGGAGCCCAAGAGGGCCCCAAAACGCCCGAAGAGGCCCCGTTACGGCGTCCCAAGAGGCCTCCACGACGTCCTCCAGGAAGGCCCGAAGAGGCCAACATCATAGATCTGCCGCAGGTGGTTACAGGACTTGGGCATCTGCTTCAAGCTGCCTTCCGACGGCCCAAGAGGCTACCGAGATTGCCCCAAGATCGCTCAGAGGCCCCCGAGATAGCCCAAGAGGCTCCCTTGACGGCCCCATCAGGGCCCCAAGACGGCCACAGAGGCCTTCAAGACGTTGAAGACGGCCTCCAAGGCGACCCTGAATCGCCCCTTGAGAGGGGCTCCCAAGACGGCGTCCGACGGCGTCTGACGAGTCAGGGACGCTGGAAGACGGCTAACGAGGCCACCAAGAAGCTCCCGAAGGCCCTCAAGAGGCCCAAGGAGGCTCCCATGATGCCTCCAAGAGGCCTCCAGGAAGCTCCCAGGATGCCCCATCAATGACCCAATAAGCTCCTATAGCGTGGCCAAACTTTGCCCAAACGTTTGGCCACATAGGCATATCCTCAAAGCAGGGGGCGGCGGTGATTCGCAATAGGCGTCTTCGAAACACTTTTAGACACGATTCAGAAACTTTCCGTTTGACAGGGATCGACCTTTTAGATACGACTGAGACATTCAGGCACGGGGCCTGCACCAGAATGCGATAAACACTCGAATGCCCGAATACCGCTCGAATCGCCGAAAATATGCCCCCGCTGCACCGCGAGGGCGTTGGACGCGCCGCGGGCGTAGATTATTCGGACGCTGTCTTCCTGGCACTCTGGAAGGTCAGGAAAGTGCGGTGGCAAACCGTGCGGTGGCCTTGAGCCAACCAAACACCTCACCGCACGGTCCGTCACTGCCCAGTTTGGGACTTCGGATGCCCCAATCGCACGAGATGCCGTCGATGAGCCCACGTCCCAACACCGTGCGGTCACACCGAGTCCTCCCCCGACTCACCCGACGGTCTGGTCAGGTCGCCGCTTTGATCTAGGCCTCTCAGTTGGGGTCGGAGCAGCTGTGGTCGAAGGATCGCGCCGCATGGCCGATGCATCGCCGATGTGGCTCGATGTGGAGCCCGATTTGCTTCACGTCGACGTCGCCGATGCATCGCCGACGTCGACGATGCATCGCTGGTGCATCGTCGATGCATCGCCGATGTATCGGCAATGCGGGGCGACCCTCCGACCCCATCCCTAGGAGGCCTCTATTTGGATGACGCCCCGCACCCGACGCCTCGCGCTGGCCTTGCTCTGGGCCGCCGCCAAGGGTGCCATTCTGAGCCCTCAGCGCACGGGTGGGCAGCGCCCCGGCCAGGGCGAGGGCAACCGCGCACAGCCTCATGCTCCCAGACCTCCAAGGTCACCCAACTTCGCGCATCGCTAGGAGACGAAACACGGCATGAACACGAGCGTTTGGCGCCCCGCGCGGATTTCTTGGACCTGCGCTGGACCCCCCCTCCGCGGCGCCTCTGGCGCCGCCCCCGGCGCGCTCCGCGCGCCAGGGAGGGGAGTCCGGCGCGGATCCCACGAAATCCGCGCGGAGCGCCAAACGTTAATGTTTAATTGTGCCGTTTTTCTTCTTCTATCCTCTGGCGAGACCCAGACCTCCGACGCCTTGGAGACAAGCAGCCCTCCGATCCTGGCGCTGGACCCCTCTCCCGCGCGGGCGGAGCGCGCCGAGAGGCGGCGCTGGAGGCGCCGCCGGGGGGCCCGAGGAGCCGATCCACGAACTCCGCGCGGAGCGCCTACTGTGTGTGTGTGTGTACAGTCGGACTTGATTGAACAGGACGCGCGAGAGGACACAAGACCCTGCCAAGGGCCACGTTGCCACAGGAATGTAGGAGGCATGGGTCGCGAGATGCAGGACACAACTGTACTCTTGATTTGGGAGGGTCGACCTACAGTGCCGGTTTGAATACATGCTCCGCGTGCGGATCATGTATTAAAAATGCAGGGATTTGGTTTAAACGGTGAGTTCATGCATACATTGATTCAGACATAAGAATATATTACACACACTATGCTTTTTTAATACATAAAAAATCACATGCATTAAAAAAAATGTCCTGTACAAATCAGGGCCGGCTGTATGGCTTTTTGTTCTTCTTCGAATTGCGCCCCGCGAGGCGCGACCTGCGAGTGTCTTCGAGCCCTCGCGCCGCCCCCACTGGAGGTAGGGTTAGGTAGTCGAAAACAAGCTGGTAAGCTTAGGTATACAGTCCGCCTTAGGCGCTTCCATATCCCAGGCTTAGGCTCATAGCGCATGAGCAAGAGAGCGAGACGAAGCATGGGATCTGGAGTAAAGAGTAGGATGGGCATCGTCAATGGAAAAGGATGTTTTCCGATCTCAGATGCAAGTAGTGCGCCTCAGTGAGGCACAGTCACATATTTGGCCGGGCCCGGCTTGAGCCAGGCACGGCAGCGGTACATGCTCGATTTATACCTCGCCTTTAACCTTCTCCGTTTAAAGTCGGAGGGGGAGGAGACGAGCAGGTACCGCACTTCTATTATGCGGAAAAACAGTGCTAAGCAGCAGCGGCTGCCTACAAGGAAAGGGCGCGCGAGTAGCCTCGCTACCGGCGAGTTTCCTCGCTGCTAAAGCGCACCTGCCCGCGGGTTTCCCCGCTGGCTCGGGAGGCAGGGCCGTCCTGAGACGACCTGCCCGCCCTATACGGCGTATGTTTCTTCAGCTCGTGCTTGAAGGATTGCTGGCCGGCCATTACTTGTAGGAGCAACGCGCGGTCAATGCTACCTTTGGTATGACCATCGGCAGTCATATCCCGCGTGTCACACCATTGGACGCTTTCCACGATTCCACGTTCCATCATCTGGCGAATCCAGCTGATGTGCCCAAGCAGAGTACACTCTGTGGGCTTCTTCAGATCCTTGCTAGACAAAGATTTGAAGACAGACTCGGCATCAATAGTCAGAGTGACTTTGATACATAGACCACCCATTTCCAATATGTTCTTCAACTGTGTGGGGGTCAATGGTCCCGAGTGTAGCTCGTGGAGCGTTACAATGGTCGGGTAGCAGTCTTCCAAGTTGTGGGCTGCTGCCAGTGTTTCCGCAGAGTAGCTCGAACGCACTGCAGTCGATGAGACTTGCAGTATGCGTCCACCAGGTGCACGACGGGTTTCCCCGCTTGCGTGTGGCCACGCCTCAGCAGGTTAGCCCCGCGGATACCATAGCCTTTGACTTCGTCGTCTTCATCTCCGTTGAGACGACGATAGCCAGAATCGCTATGCAGGTCGACTTCTCCTGTTGGAGTCATAGCATGATACACGATCTTCTTCGGGCCTGCCTGCAATTTTCTGGTAACCGCGTTTAGTCGTCGTACCTGGATGTTTGTCGGTTCTTGGATACGTTGTAGTGAGACAACATAGACCATTAGCCATACCTGTGTGATCAACGCATAGGCTAGAGCGCCACGAAGACTGACGAACATATCAGAAATCGTCTTCGTCGCCTTGCTTTCAGGATCAGCTCCTGTGAGTTCTGGATGTGTGATAGGACGAAGCTGTTTGATGTATTCGTCCTGGTCGAGAGTGACGCTCCCATCATCGGTCTTGTTGTACCGGACAGCACAGTTCGTGTATGTGTGCTTGTTCAGTTTGCACTTCCCAAACGTATCTTCAACACACTTGACATACTTGTCGATAGCCTCTTCCTTCCCAGTCATATTGATGTCATCAACGTGCTTGGCTGTCAAGAGGTTTGGGCTCATCTCGAATTCTTCGTCGTATGAAGTAGGCTGTAGCCCAAAGCTCCTAGTGATGGACCTGAGCTTCAGCGAGAATGCCCTGGGAGCATCCTTCGTGCCTGTCCCCGGTTTCAGACACCGGAGACAATGCTTTGATTCGTCATATGACTCAAAGCCTGGCAGTGTGCGAAGGACAGCTGCAGATCCAGGTGGTAGTGTGAAACACACCACACGTTCTTTCTCGCCCGTTGCCGCGGCGAGCTCGCCATAGGTCAGTCCCTTCAAGAAAGCCATGTTGATGTCCAGGGAAGCGATGATCCAAGCTTTGTTGCATGCAGCAGAACTTGCGAGCAGTCTCTGGCTTGACCTCCTTGCCGTGCCAGAGAAGGTTTCGACATCAAAGGCTTCAAGGTCCATGAAGCCACGGAGTACCAAGCGTAACCTGATCGTCCTTTCCATTTCGCCCTTTTCGTTCTTGACAAACTTCCATTTGTATACGTAGCGTGACGTCATGATGTTAGACGCCTTGCTTAAGTCAGTCATCTGGAAGCATTTGTTGTCAAGCCAAGTCTTCAGCTCTGTGTAGAGGGCTTTGGAAACTTTGACCGGATTTGCTTGGATGTCGGCCTTCGTGAGTAGATCGTCTTCCTTGACGACCACGGCACGTTTGGAGGCAGCGCTAACGTATACTCGCATAGTTGTGACGCTGCTGTCATCCAACAGTCGGTGTTGCTGCTCGGACAGGACGACTTTGGACATGTCTGCAGTGAAGCAGAGCTCGATATACTTCCCGTGCTCATCGGAGTCCAGATCATATTTGCTATCCGGTTCCGTGGAGCATAAAGGAACGTAGTAAGAAGTGTCCATGTCGTATCCTGGCGGGTGACCCCGCTCCGGCAAGTGGCCTTGCACATCTTCACAGGTCGTAGAGACTAATACACACTGTGTGTCTGTCATGTATGTAGGAACTGTATGCATGACTTCCTCTGTGTCAGCTTCAAGGAGTGTTCTGTCATCCATCAGTTCAGCATACCACGACTTCAAGACAAAAGCATCCAGATCTTCTTCTGTCTCCTCTATGATGGTCGGGAGCCGACCATCGTTGTCCGTAGGAGGCTCCTCAGGAGCAGCTGCTGGAGGTGATTCGCTTGGTGGTGGACCATCAGCGAGTTCCTCAAACTTAGTGAGGTCTTGGTCAAACCCAGCAGACGGCTTCCTGGATTTAAGACACTGGATGATGCGTGAGTGTGTAGATCCTGTGATGTCATAGATGTTCAAGGCAGTGCCATCAGCTTCATAGTAATGAAACCCAGGGGTCACATCGTTATCATAGTGCACTAGTGTACAGCTGTCTGCATAGGGTGCGGCAGGCAGCTTCGTCAGGCTCTTGGCGAGTCGTACAGCAACAACGTTTTCAATACGAAAGTAGTTGCGTATGAGGTACTGAAGAGCCAAGTGCACCTTAGGTGAAAGTCGGCTCGCAGCAGTCATCTGCAGCCGACCCTGTTTCGTTGGTAGATATCCGAAAGTCATGGCGGGTTTCCCCGCTGGCAGACCGGCAATAAAGGCCAATACTGTTCGAAGGGCCGTATTGTCCGATCCTATCTCGCGGACCATAAGTGCTTCGATGTACAGTGTGTGTCGTGTGTCAGGATACTGTACTCGTACTTCGCGATTGCCGACCTTCACGATGACCTGGCCTCGGTCAGGTTCGTTGCGGATGACCGGGTATGGACCACTCCATCCACCCCAGTCGTCTTTCGTGGTGGTCGGACGGTGATAGTCCACGAGATCTCCTTCTTTATAGTGAAATTCACCCGTAGCAGTAGTCTTTGTACGGAGAGCCCTGTTCGTCTTGGCAACCGCAGTGGCCTGCGTGATTGCCTCCAGACTAACCCTCCTGATTGTTTCCTCCCTTGAGTGATCTGATGATTCAGTGGGCTGATCATGATCCAAGACAGGGAAATCAGGAAGCATAGCTGGCTGTCTACCATACAGCGCATTGTACGGAGACACTTCATTGTAGAAGGTAAATGCGTTGCTGGCAAACAAGGCTTCATGTAAGAGACGAGTGAAATTGAGAGGGATATGTAATCTATTCAATTCTTCTCCCATCACGTGTAGGAGGTGTCGAAGGATGCCGTTCCTAGCTTCGATAGTTGTAGCGTGTTGGCCACGCGCTCGAATACGAAGCTCTGTTCCCTTAGCCTTAAGGATGGCCTTTGCTGTATCATTATTCAGTGCTCCTTCCCCATCGGAGTATAAGATTTTAGCAGGGCCATGCTGCATCCAAGTCGTATGATAGGCATCGAGAACAGTATGCATAGCTTTATCAGGAATCTCTGTGCCAGCTGCCCAGCGAATACAACGGTCGATGATGTGAAAAACAATATGTTCCTGTTTATAAAAGAAGAGATCACATTCGACTTCTTCGTTGAAACGTCCTGGCAGTGACACAGAAGGCATCACCGTGTTGCCTGGTTTGTCCCAGGCTCGACATTCTCTACACGAGTCGCAAATGCCTTTGATCAGACTCAAACGGGTTTCACCCAGACCAACCTTGGTTAGAATCATCCGCATTTTTGGCTCCTTGGCATGAAACCATCTCAGGTGGAGTTTGCGGAGTTCTCGCTGCACTACAGCTGGGTCGAAGCTGCGCAGGTTTTGGAGGCTGAGC